GAGGCTAGAGTCTGTCCCAAGGAACACACAAGTCCTGTCAAAGCATAAGGCTGAGGCCCAAAACATGAAAAAGATCAGGATTCCCAGAGAAGGAAACTCTCTCAGCTGGCAGTAAAAATGTTTTCTACTACAAGGAACTGAATTCCTGACCCAACTGGGCTTGAACCACAAGGGAATACATCACCTCACACAACTGAATTCAGTCAGGACAAGGCCCGTGCTGCATTGGCTCAGAAGCTTAATAGTAGTCAGAACCACATAATGACTGTCGTAGCCTCTGGACACCTCTGCCTTCCTGAGTTCTTCCCATCATACAAAAAAATTATATTTTATGGCTTCAGTGGTATAAAAACAAGTAGAATTCAAACATACTGATATTTTTTTCTTCTGATTTCAAGACAGTAAAACATCATGGTGGACCTCTAAAGGCATCATGGGATGAGGGATACCTAGGTCTCTTTTGATCTGTTGGCTACATACAGTGTGTGTCACCTGTGGGCTCAAGCTTGCTTACCTCCAGGCTGTTCTAACCCTGCCAGCTAGCAGTTGGGGTTATGGGTGGCATGGGTTTCCTTGATTCCCTCCACTCTTAGTCTAAGAAATCCTTTCCCCTTGCAGGAAAAAAACCCTTTCCTTTCAATTCTTATTGGTCTTAAATGGGAGCATGGCCCACCCTTGAAGCAATACCCTATAAAATGACATTGCTAATTGCATCATCTTTAGACTGGTCCAGAGCACCTCTTATGTCAGGGATGGGAATGAAACCTAGATGATATTTATGTTAGAAAGGAAGAGAAGTCTCCTTTATCCCTCACATCAGAGTTTCTCATATCTAATTGCTATCATTCACATGTTTTTCATAGTTGCCCTAGATTTCTCATTCTATCCTCAAAACAACTTTAAGAAGCAGAATGTTATCCTTCCCACTTTACAAAAGCAGGATTTGAGCCAGACATGGTGGCACATGCCTAAAATCTCAACATTCCAGAGGTGAAGGCATAGGGATTGCCATGAGTTGGAGGCCAGTTTGTGCTACATACCAAGATCCCATCTCAAACAAAGAAAATGCAGGAGCTAAGATTTACAAACCATAAAATGCACACCCAAGGCAGATTTCTTTATTAATAGGACTGAAGAACAAAATATAAATGAAAAAAATGTAATAAACTCATCAAAATGTAATTTATTTGCTCTCAAAAGATAGAATGAACAAGTTGAAAAGAGAAGACAAAGATTAGGAAAAAAAAATTTTTTTTTGAGACAAGGTCTGGCTATGGAGCTCAGGCTGGCCTTGAAATCACTACATAGCCTGTGCTGGACTCAGACTTGTGGCAATCCTCCTGCCTCAGCTTCCTGAGTTCTGGGATTATAGGTATGTGCCACCATACCCAGCCTAGGAAAAAATACTATTAAATACATTACCTGACAGAGGACTTGCAGAAAGATATCTTTTTAAAAAAACTGTTACACCCCATCACCACATGTCATGCCAGCCCCACCCCTGGACATGCTGAGACCGGGTATGATGGTACATTCCTGTAATCCCAGCCCTGGGAAGGCTGAAAACGGGAGGATCACTATGAGTCCACACTGCATAGTGAGACCCTGTACCAAATACATAAAAAAACATAAATAAATATAAAAACTATTACAACTAATAATAATAAAATGAAAATCCAAAAAATAGCAAACTAATAATAATAACAACGATCTGTTGTTAGATCAGAAAGACTGCAAAGGAGGTGAGGAGAAGCAGTTCAGTGCTGGCTATGTTTTGCAGGTGAAGCCACTAGAGTCTTCTGAAGGCTTGAATGCAGAATGTGTAAGGAAAAGAGCACATGGAAAGATGAAGTCTCTATTGAGAGAGAGAAGCAGCTGGGTGGAGCAGGCAGGGGAGAGGATGAGAACAGCATGGGGTGATGGATCTGAAATGATGACTAGATGTCTGAACAAAGATGCAGTAATAAGGAGAAATGAGAGCTTTTAATAGGGCTTTCATAGAAAGTCCTATCAGTGGACAATACCATATAAAATAAATGTTTCACCCTAGACATCAGAGAAATGCAAAGCAAAGCCACAATAAGATACTATTTACACGGCTACCAGAATTTATAATAATGATAATATTATAAATATCCGGCAACACTAGGCATTTATAAGGATGTGCAATCTCACATATTGCTGGTGGGAATGTAAAATGTTACTCTTCCTTTGGAGAACACTCTGGCACATTCTTATAAAGTTAAATATACTTCTATCATATGACCTAGCAACTCCACTCCTAAAGTACTTACCTAAAAGGAAAAAAAAGATATATTCCTACAAAACTATGTCTATTTGAAGGTTCAAACAGCTTTATTAATAGACAACTCAATATATTTCAGGAAGTGAACAGATAAATCAGAGTACACCCACATAATGGAATTCTGTGCAATAATAAAAGGGAAAGAACCAGATACATCTAACAAGGAAATATCTCAAGAACACACTAAAAGCCAGACCCAAAAGAGTATTTACTCTATGATTCCATTCACATGAACTTCTGCTGAGAAAAGCCTGCAGGGGAACAAAGGTTTAAGCAGGAAAAACAGGCTCTTGCCTTACTCCAAAAAGAAACTAGTAGTGGCTTAGATCAGAAAGTCTGCAAAGGAGGTGAGGAGAAGCGGTACAGTGTTGGCTGTGTTTTGTGGGTGAAGCCAACAGAGTCTTCTGAAGGCTTGAATGCAGAATGTGTAAGGAAAAGAAGGTCAGACTGTGACTGCATGGCCCCCCACGTAAGCACACGGAAAGATGAAGTCTCCATTGAGAGAAGCATCTGGGTGGAGCAGGCTGGGGAGAGGAAGAGAACAGAGTGGGCATAGGGTGACAGGTCCCAAAGGACCCCTAGATGACTGAAGGAAGATGCAGCAGTAAGTCCGCGGCTGGATGTGCAAGAAGAGATCCAGGCTCCAGCTGGAAATTTGGTGGTGTGTAAATTCATTTTTCTAAAGAAAGGATTGAGGACAGGTAAAATGATTTCAAGTGAAACTCAGAAACAGTTAAGTAGATCTTTCCACAGAACAAAAGTCAAAATCCATTTTTTAAAAGAAAATTTGGAGGACATTAATGACTGGGAGAAAAAACTTACTAGGACTTTGGTGATAAAAATCTTCAATAGGATTAACAAATCCTTTCTATTCAAGTAAGGTTCAGAGAGGAATCTGGGTAACCCACAGGGTACCCCAGAGATTAGGAAAAGGGCTTCCAGCTGACAATCTCCCTTCCCTGCAGTCCCTACCACCTTCTTTTTTTTTTTTTTTTTTTAAATTTATGTGTGTGTGTGTGTGTGTGTGTGTCCAGCTCAGCCCACCAGGGGGCGGGGCTGGCTGGCATGTGGTGCTGGGGGATTGAACCGTGGTTCCTGTGCTTTGCTAAGCTTGTTCTAAGTAGGTGCTTTAGACCACTGAGCCATCTCACCAGCCCCTTTTTTTTTTTAATTATTATTTATTTATTTATTTATTTATTTATTTTTTTGGTGGAACCGGGGATTGAACTCAGGCCCTTGCGCTTGCTAGGGAAGAGTTTATTCCACTGAGCCATCTCCCCAGTCCCCCTACCACCTTCTTATTTTTGTCACACCTCTGCTTCCTGCTCCTGAGAAGAGTGAAGTCCTTAACAAGTTCAGTTTGAAGGTCAATCTCCTTCGTGAAATTGCCTCTAGGTTCTTAGAAGGCACAGCTGCCTTGGAAGCAAACGGTTAATCTGGCTTTAGTTTGAGCGTTCAGAGATACCTGAAATCTGTGTGGTATGATTTAATGATGACAGAAAAACACTATCTTTTTCTCTCTTCAGATTCCTGAAATTCCACCCATTAGTATGGAAGGTGAAGCCAAAATGCCAGCTTTCCATGAGCAGTTTTGGGGGTTCCAGCAACTGGGCCAACACCCTTTTCCGCACAATTGTATTAGTGGGAAGTATACTCGGCCCATTCCCAACATCTCACACATAATAGGCCACAAGTATTTGTTGAATGAATATGTAACTTCTCAGTTTCTTCCCCCCCCCCATTTGAGAAATAAGGCCTTTCCCACCTTGACTCCTCCTCACCACCACCCCCAATATCTGAAAAGTCTAGTTCTATGAATAGAGTTAATTTAATCGCGTTGTTTATTGGAGAGAAAATAGTGTAAGCCGTTTATGGGGACCCTTGGAAGTTCTCTAGGAAAGATGTTTGTCTCTCTTGGGACAGCAAAAACGCGCCCTGGAACTTGGAGCACTGCCAGGGCTGAATCAAACGCAGGGCATCACATCCCCAAAGCAGCCCGGGTCCTGGCCCTCAGAGAGTCGAGGGTCTGGCGGCAGAGCGGAGGCCAGGACAGCGGACTGCTCTGCAGCTGCACTGTGCAGCGAGCGCGCTCTGCCCGGGCTCCCAGCGCCTGGCTCCGCGCTGGCGCCTCCCTCGGCTCGCTCCTCCGCCCCCCTTCCCCTCCCCCCTTCCCTCCCTTTCTGCTCCTCCTCCCGCTGCCGCGGCCGCTGCCAGACCACGCCAGTTCAGACCCACGGGGCTACCCTCCCCTGCGCACTCCCCTCGCTGCCCCGGGCCAGAACGCAGCGCGGCGGCGCAGGTAGGAGCCCCAGACGCGGGGTCGCCTGGAGCGCGCCGGGAGCGAGGTGGGATGAGCCGAGGGGTGCGGAGCGCTCGAGAGCTGCCCGGACAGTGCCAAGAGAGAGGGAAGTGGAGGTGTGTGGTCTCGGAATGCGATCTGTCAGCTTGCGCGAGTGCTCGGGTGACATCTGTTGGGATCTGCAAGTATGTGCGCGCCCACGGGTGCCCGGCAGAGCTCTGCCCTAAATGTGGTTTTGAAAGTTTCAAGGGACAGAGGGGCAAGATTTAAGCCGCACCTGGATTCCACAGAAGTTCTGTGGAAGCTGAGCGCAGAGCAGCGCTGGCGGACAGCTGCCTCCTAGCTTCCAGTTAAGAGGACCTTAGCTCGCCGGGGCACCAGCCTGGCCACCCGGAAACTGGTACCCAGGGCTGCAGCGCGGCGCGGATTCCGGCCGAGGCAGCCCGGATCCTGAGGGGAGCCCAAGACCTGAGAAGAAGCGAGTCAGACGCGTGGGGCGGCTACTCTGCACATCCTGGGGCCTTGGAACAAAGCTGCGCCCTGAGATGGGCATGGAGATGCACTTAGAGTTCTGCGGGAGGATGTGAGAAGCTGCTTGGAGGGGTGTGGGAAACGAGTGTTCTCCTAGAACTGGAAGGCTTTTGCTCTCCAAGTTTTGTTTGTGTTTTTTACGAGGTTGAGGCCACAGAACTGATATTGTCTTGCAGGTACTTTTGCTGAGCTGTGCAAGTAACATTACCAACTAGAAGTGAGCATTTAAGGAAATTCTTAGTGGTCCAGGGAACAGAAATTTGCTGCCTCACTTCTACGCCCAAACAAAAATACACCCTTGCCTTGGAAATTGTTTTCCCTCTTTCTTTGCTTTGACTCCCCTTTTCCCGCGCCTGTTGTGCTAGGTACAGTATAAAATGCATGGTGAATGTCCTCTGTATTGATGTGCATGGAATAAGATGAAATGCAATTCTGCAGCCCTTTCTCAGGCTTTTGTGCCTCCTAGGTAGGTGTGGCGAAAGCTGAGGAGCAGGAGAAGAGAGGAAAAGAGAACTGAAATCGATATCCAAGTGCCTTAGCCGCCCTACTCTTTCTTGCCTGTTACTTGGCTGCTGAACTTTCACTATTTCCCTTCAGCAGATAATAAACATTGATTTGCCCTGTTTTTTCTTTGAGATTCACGATGTGGAAAGTCCTTTTCCTCACTATGCTGACTCTGGCGCTGGTCAAGTCACAGGACACCGAAGAAACCATCACATACACGGTAAGGGGTGATGGAACTTGAGATAATTACACTCAGGACGATTCTATTACAAAAGATTTTCCCAGCTCTGCCAGTGGATATAGGTTATATTCTGTGAAGGGCAGGACATAATTTTTAGTGTGGCTCGCACTTAAGGTTGTTAATTGGCCTCCATCCTTACAAAGGTTCATTTAGATCAATGAATGATAGGGACCCAAATGCAATGATTTGCACTCTGCCAAAAGAAAAGGGCCTGTAAAATTAAAAAGAGGTGGTATATTTCCCATACATTCAATAAAATAGTAGATATAAGGAACTGCAAAGAGCTGGAATTCCTCCAGGACTACATGCAAATGAAATAAATAAATGCAGATTGTTAAGCATCCTGTAAGTGCAGCACCCCATTTGTGCATGTAACATGTTCTCATAGAAGCTACCTTTATTGACTCTAGAAGATGATATTTCATTTCTAGTACAACTTATATAGTTCCCTTCACATATAGTTTATGTGTTACCAGGAGGTATTATTTGCTAAAATGGATTTAAAGTGCAGTGTTTTGAATCTTTTACTAGCATCTCTGATATTTCCAAGAGTTTGCTTAGTTAACTGCATGAGTATAACCTGTATTTACAATGCATTTGTTGTGTCACCAAACTTCTCCCACTCCCAAAAAATACTTGTTGTGAGAACTGAGCGGGGCAGTACTTACCTACTCACTGGGGAGAGTCTGCGCCTCTGTTTTATGTTTTCTATTTTGTAGTCAGTGTTGTAAGATGAATGACACTGTTCATGGATCAGTATGTGAAAAACATATTTTTCTACTTGTTCCCAGCTTTTTAAAATTGAGTACTAAAAAGAATGTGAGATTTGTTGAGGATAAAAAGCTTGAAAGTGAGTTAATGTCAATTATTGATAATAAATATCTCACTCTTTGATACCATGTTATCCCTTGAATGTGAGTATCATCTGGTAGATATTCCTTTCTGCTATTTGGGTCAACTATAAATAAAAGTCTAATATAAATATTTTGTTAACTTAATGTTAAATGCAATTGCTCCCTCTGCTGAAGTTAAATAAAGCAAGAAAATGAATGCTTGTGCTGTTTATCTTCCAATGAAAATGTTTTGTCATTCAGGCCAAACTTACCACCTTCTCAGGAAGCCAAAATTAAATATGCTATTTGCTTCGATAGTCATCTAATAAAAGATTTTATTGCTTTTGTAATTGCTTATCTTATGTCCTCTTCCTTTTCTTAATCACCTAAATCTTTTTTTCTTAATTGTTGACTTTTTTTACATAATTATTTTTTAATGACACTAATACATAAAAAATGATGGGGTTTTTTTCCATAATTTTATTGATAAACAAATAGCAATGAGACAGTTTCAAATCAAATTGGTAGGGCAGTTTCAATAACTAACACACTGCATACATTCTTCCTAGTGGTTAACTGCTGTACAAGATGCGGACTTGATATCCTATTTACAAACACCATTAGAACAAATCCCTCTCTTCATTAAGAGAATGTAACTATATATCTATCCTAACCACTTTGAATACACAGATTGTTGATTTTTTTAATTAGGCAAATAATATATGTTTGCATTCTTATAGTAAAAATTCAAACCATAACATGAAAATTGCTATTGGCTTCTCCAATCTTCTCATCAGAAGTAACACATAATGTCTATCCCATTATACATCTGTCCTTTCAAAAAACCTTCTAGGCAGTTGCATAAGTTAACCACCTAAATCTTATTCATTTTAGCAGAGAAATTTCCTGTGAATTGAGCACTAAAGTTTTAAAACTACTAACTAAGGTTCATTAATATTGTACTTAAGATGTATGATACACTTTTTTTTTTACTAAGATCAGGTTTGTTCTTTTTTGAATTGTGTGTGTCTAATAATTCATGCTTAAAGGACAAGATATAACTATTGGGGTCTTGAGTACTCCACTGTGAAGACACTATGTCCCTTCATCCTCACAACAAAGTGTGAGGTAAGTGGCATCATCTTCCTGCTGCTGATACGGGAACTGAAGAGCTGAGTCAACCTTGCTTTAGACTCCAGAGGCAGCAAGTGCTGAAGCTCAGTTCAGTCTACACTTACTTAATAGTAGGCCCATATTAAATGTACTGGAACTAAATACTTTTAAAAGACTTATACCTTCCCTATTTTCAATACAAATTATTCAAGTAAATTGCCACTTGTGAGTAATTTTGAAAATACTTTTCAGAAGGATGGACTCAAGTATCCTCAAGGCAGCCTCATATTTCCATTCCATGCTAATCAGCCACTTCACAAGTATCTGCATAAAGAACTGCATCACTATCAAAAGACTGTTTACTCAGAAGACTTAGCTTTTTGCCTCAGGGAATTTGCACTAGGAAAACTATTGAAAAGTGTAAAATTCTTAAACAAGTACAAATAATGCTATTATCCAGATTATACAAATTGCAAACAAGTAGAAATGCAAAGATAATTGAAGTTGGTACTGGCATATCAGAAAAGAAAGAACCCTGTTCCAGGTCTTGTATGTGATTATGACCTCAAGTTGATCTACGAAGAGGCACCTGGTCAGAAAGAAAGACATTAAGACTAGGGTGAAAAAAACAAGTCCAGGGGGCAAGAAGGAGTTGGAGGTGGAAAGAACCTGAGGATGGTAACAGAGACAGAGGTCTAGAGGCAACTCTGAGCTCATAGATGGAGGAGGAAGTTAACCATGAAAGAAAGAACAGAGTGATGTGTGCATAAATGTAAAGAGAGAGCCTGCCTTCTGTGTGAAGCCAGGAAGGCTCACAACAATGTAACGGATGTGAAAGTGAAGACACAAGTAGGCTGAGCTTGAAGGAAAATAATTGGAAAAGTCAAAGCATTTAATGTTCCCCTGTTTTGAGAAAAGTGGTAGGGACTCAGATGGTGTCAGAGAAACTAAAAAAAAGAAAAAAGCATTAGTCTGAGAGATAACACTAACTTTGTCACCTTGTTAAGTTTTAGACATCAGTGAAATTGATCTCTCTGCCTTCATTTAGTCACTTGACAAGCATTTGTTGTGTTCAAAATCAATTCTCAGTTTATTTAAACAATGTAAGATAATTTGCCTGTTGACTTCAGTTTGGTACAGTCCTTTCTGAGGTAATTTCCTCACTGTGACCTTCTCTGACAAACATCTAATCAAAATTATTTCCCAAGCTTCAAAGTTCTTCAGAGGCCTATTATCACATATAGATAGCAACAGTTCTCAAACCATAGCCACAGATGAGCTGTACAGAAATCTCCTCAAAAACATGTGGGGAATTCAGACTCCAGGCCTCCTACCCAGGCTTACAGAATCAGATCCTTGCCTGAGCCTAAAATCTGCATCTTAACAAACACCCTGAATGACCCTACACATATGCTAAATCTTGAGATGCACTGACATTCACAGTGGAATCTAGTTCCTCCCTTTCCTAAGAAGAGGGTTCCTGGATTTGGCCTTGGACACTTCTCTAATGCTGTCCATCACCCAGAGCTACTTGAAGCTCTCTTCCTCAACAGCTGTGTGCCCTTTCTCTTCCTGTTCTCACTTCCTAGAAGATCCTGCTCATTGTGGAAGGTCATTTGCCCCCTCCTCTGCAAAACCTTCCCTTCCTGTCACAGCACCTCACAAACTCCAAATCTACCCCTCCACCCCACCCATTTCTCTCATACCACTGACATCTTCCCAGCTATCTTCTGGATCATGAACTGCTGGAGGAGAAGGGCCAGTACTTCACCATGTCTGTATCCTGGGGCCTGGGACAATGGCTGATATGAGAAGGTGCTTGATAGATGATTTGCTCAGTGGGTGAGCCAGACAAGACCCAAGGGAGCTAAGATAGAGGGCAGAGCATTACCAAAGAATGGCCAGCATAGCCAAGTGCTTGGATGCTCAAGAGGACTTAGGGAAAAGTTCAATACTAGGAAAAAAAAAAACTTGGTTCAATTTTTTGTCTTTCATGGTAGAATTTACAATGTGGAAAACCAAAGGGACAAATAAAAAAGGATAGTCAGAGAGGCTGGAGAAGATTAGTCTGAAGAGAGAAAAGTATTCCAACACAATAGTAATGGGCAAGTATACCTGACCCAACAGTTAGGAGTTGAGGCAGCTGATGATTGAGAAAGGACTCTTGCAGCTACACAGTGCACAGGCTTGTCTTAAAAATGAGAAAAGCCAAAGAATGTGAAACTACACCTCATTATAAATTGCAGACTCCAGTATGAGGATTAGAATGATGCTTTTATTTTTTTAATAATTTTATTGAGAAACAAATAGCAATGAGACAGTTTCAAAACCAATTAGTAGGACAGTTTCGATAATTAATACATTGCATATTGTTGTCTTCCTAGTGGTTATTCACAGTACAAGATGCGGACATGATATCCTGTCCACAAACACTATTAGAACAAATCTTTCTATTCATTGAATTAAAGAATGATGCTTTTAGAGTGACTTCTTAAACAAGTTTCTCCTGGCTCCATCTTTGGTGTTTTCTTTGCAGCAATGCACTGACGGATATGAGTGGGACCCTATACGTCAGCAGTGCAAAGGTGAGCCAGCTCCAGCCTTCGCATCTGAACACAGCCTTCTGTCTCCATCTCTGTGTTCCTCTTGTCTTCACTGTATGATACCTAAAGGCTTGTGCATGTATTTATATGTCTTATTTTTCCTCTAAGAAGATTGCTGACTTACTTTATTGCTGACCACAGATATTGATGAATGTGACATTGTCCCAGATGCTTGCAAAGGTGGAATGAAGTGTGTCAACCACTATGGAGGATACCTCTGCCTTCCTAAAACAGCCCAAATTATTGTTAATAATGAACAACCTCAGCAAGAAACGCCAGCAGCTGAAGCAGCCTCAGGTGCAAGCACTGGAGGCGTTTCTGCCAGTAGCATGGCAGCCAGTGGAGTGGTGCCTGGCGGTGGTTTTGTGGCCAGCGCTGCTGCAGTCGTAGGCCCTGAAGTGCAGACTGGCCGAAATAACTTCGTCATCCGGCGGAACCCAGCAGACCCTCAGCGCATTCCCTCCAACCCTTCCCACCGGATCCAGTGCCCAGCAGGCTATGAGCAGAGCGAGCATAACTTGTGTCAAGGTATGACGAATTATTCTAACAAGATAGTTCTCACACAGAAGCGTCTCTTGGCGATGATGATGATGATGCTAATGGCTCACATTAATCAAGGGCTGCCCTTGTGTGGGGCTTTGTGTTAAATGCTTTGTCTGAATTAGCATATTTAATCGTTGCCAGAATCCTAAGAGGCAGTTGCTGTCATTATGATTTTACAGATAAGGCAACTGCGCCTCAGAAAGTTCATTAGTGTTTCTTAACCTTAACTGTCCCTATTTATCATCACTTAGGAACATTTAAAATTTTTCACTGGTCAAGCCACACCCTAGAGTGATTAAATAACTGTCCCAGGGGATGGATTCTAGGCACCAGTATTTTTTAAAGGTCTCCACATGGTTCCAGCATGCAGCCAAGTTTGAGAACCAGAGGTCACACAGGTGGTAAGTACAGAGCTGGCTTTCAAACCCAGGCAGGAGGGTGCCAGAGTCACAGCTGTCACAAATAATAGTCAGGTTGCTCGTTTGGAATTTGAATTTGTGCTGTTGAACTACTCCATAAATGTCTCCCTTTGATTTCTCCAGCTTTCTTATCAATGAACTTCCCACTGGCTTATTTTCCTTATGCAGGAATTAAAAAAAGAAAAGTGGGGTTTCTGCTTCTCATTACCTTGGAGAGAATCTCCACTGTTCATATTTCTGTCTCTTTTAAGGCTTTCTCTTGAGCACACTTTGCTTGTATCACTTGCACCATGGCACTGTCTGCCTGGGCCTTTCTGTTTATTTTCACAAAGAGCACATATCACTGTGTATTCTAGAAACAGCTGTAGACTCATGCTAGCAAAGTGATAAGAATCTCAGGCTTTGAAGACATGTAGGATATTAGCTAACCGGACTGTGCGAAGGGATTTTGTTTCCCTTTTCTTTTTGAGCAACCCTTTTCATAGCCACATAGTGTGGAGATCGTGTGACTGTGATGAGGCCACAAGAGCCCCCAGACTCCTTTCACACTGCCAGGGGCTGGCTGGGCAGACCCCAAATGATGGGCTCCCTGTCACAACTGTGAGCACAGCTGTATGGGGGCATGGTACATACATACATATTGGCCAGCGGAAGGAGCTCAGGAGCTCTGAACTTTTTTTTTTTTTCTATAAATTTTATTGAGAAACAAATAGCATTGAGACAGTTTCAAACCAAATTGGTAGGACAGTTTCAATAATTAACACATTGCATACATTTTTCCTAGTGGTTAATTGCTATACAAGATGCGGACTTGATATCCTATTTACAAACACCATTAGAACAAATCCCTCTATTCATTAAGAGAATGTAACTATATATCTATCCTAACCACTTTGAATACACAGATACAAAATGGACATTCATCTGTATCCCCTTTTTTTTGTTAAGTTCCGTTATTTGAATATTATAGGTGTGTAAACTCAGCAAAATATTCTAAAAGAGTCCAGTAGCCCATTGGGTCTAAAAGAGTCCAGTAGCCTATTGGGTCTTCTGCCTCACTGGCAGTGTCAGAAATTGTTGACCTGAGTCCCCTACAGCTCAACATAACAGCATGGCTTTACTTCTTATATTTCGTTTTTATACTTTTCTGCTGGATGGTTACGACCAAGGTAAAGCAGGACCTATGCAACAAGAGTTGTAGCTTTTGGGTCTGATAAGGTCAGTGAAATCTCCTCAGGATTTATCCTGAGATCCTGTACCTCAGATTGTAGAACCTTTGTCAGTGTCAGCCATGTGGATGAGTCACGGCCATTGCTTGGCCAACGTGAGGAGCTCTGAACTTCTAATTGATTATAAGTGAGGAAAAGAGTGCTCCCCAACCGCAAGGCACACACACAGATAGGACCATCTACCTGTTGAATCAGGTACGTGTATCCTTTCGTGCCTTAGGAGACTGCCTCAGGACTCTGTATTCCCAGGGCTTTATCTTCTGTGTAAGAGACACTACATTTTAAATGGCTTAGAAGTAAAGTCTTGTCCTGACTTTTCTTTTATTTCATTTTCAATCTTGTTTGAGTTTATTAGTCCATGTGTGTAGTATATAATGTTTATATTCCTTGTGGGAAGTGGGTGTGGGTGTATCATGCATCTTCATTCCTTTTATCATCCCCTTCCCTTCCTTCCTCCTGCCTCCACCCATCTCTTGATCCTCTTCATTTTATTTCCTTGCATATGTTTGCAGTATATAATGTTTATTATTTCATATTTTGAGTGTAAATTTTAAGTGAATGCCACATCAAGAGCTCCTCTGTGCCGTGATGGCGTCACTTTTCAGAGAGCATCATATGAGCGTCTGTTTTGTGTTACTGTCCTGACTCAGAATTCCACTACTGATGATGAATGCTTCCACATCTGCTTGATGTTCTGATGTCTAACTTAAGGATTATGTCAAGGAAATAAACTGACATGATATATGTATTATGTTACATATATATGGGTGAATGCTGATAAACAGAACCTTGAATTTATTTAAGATGTACCAACTTTTTATTGTTAAATATATAATTAGATTAGAAAGTTTGGTGGTTTATTCTGATATTTAAAAATTTTGCTGAAATTTTTTAAGTAATAATTTTGCATTCTGAATTATTTTTAACCCTTCAGCTATTGTATGTATTAATGACATTTGTGAGGAGAAAAAAACCCAGGTAAATGAATGGGTCATTTCCCAAATTTATCCATCAATGACTCTTATTGTTGAATTAAACAACAAAGCCTAGAATTGAATAAAGGAGTTCTATAATAAAGTACATTTCAGACTTATAACCCACATGGGTGACAGTACCAACTATACTGAATAATGAAAATAAAATCCTATTTAACTTTTCTTGAAAATATTTAGGCTACTTTACAAAGTTTCTTTTCACATGTTAAAACAATTCTCAGGAATCTTTTAAAATTACAAAGTAGAACTATTAGTCTTTATTTATGTAAGACATAAATATATACTTGATTATTGTGTGCACAGAGAGTATTTCCAATCCAAACTCTTCTGTATAATTCAACTAGCTTCCAAACTATGGGTCTGGGGTCTGCACCGCCGCAGCAGGGTTAAAAAGTTTTTTGGATGATTTAAGGCTTAAGTTGGATTTCTTCCCACCACACAATTTTACAAAGTGCCCATAAATGTGGATTTAGTTAATTGTTGATAAAGGGGGTTATTTCATATGATAATGATAGGATAATCTTGTCTTGGGAATCTGACTGGCATAAAGTCGAGTCACACTTGTGCCCGTTTATTACTGAGCTAATCAAACATGCAGTCCAGCTTCTTCTAATTGCTTGCAGATGTGTGCCATTCTCATTCCAGGCCAGCAGCACAAAATAATGCTTTATAACCAGCGTGGAAGTGTGGGGACCTCCACTTAAAACAAGAATGTGCTCCATGGATGTATATTCTTGACATCATAATGTAGTTTGAGGAACCTTCTGTTTTAACAAAGCGCTCCACTTTTAAATGTTTCATACTTATGCCCACTGAGCTGAACTCCTTTACCATGGTCAGCTGGATTAGAATAAATGAATACCTACACATGAAGGATAACTGCAATACTATTCTGAAAAGGGAAAATAATATCTATACATCTGCTTTAAAAAAGACAAACTTGAATTAATATGTTCACTTCCCAGGGGGGAGAGACATCTTTCTTTGACTTCATTCATTTTGAACTTAAGTGATCTCATCCAAAAGAAGATTTATAAATTATAGTGTGATCAAGTGGCTAAGCATACCTGGCATTGTCCTTCCCAGACTGTTTTCAAACACTGCCCTTTTGTTAATCTGACTGATGTTAGTAGGATCTCTGGCTGGTTGGGTTACTTTTGTGAGGAGATGCCTAATTTTTCTTGCGTATAATTACATAGCCCAGTGAAAAGCTTTGATCTATGAAAATAGGTATTTTGCAAAAGAAAGACTATAATTGAGTAAATTCTATTAACCTAAAAATATTTAAAGCAAAAAGTGGAATGGGCTTTTAGCCAGTTTACAGTTCTTCAGCATTTTTAGATGTTGATTTTCTTGAGGAATCTGAAAAACGCTAGAATGCCATGTAAATGGATATGAATTGAGCTTATAGGAAAACTTTAATTATTTTTAAACAGGCTTATGCATAATAAGGTAGGAGCAATTGATTTCCTCCTGGAAAATCTAGCATTGTTTCATAATTTGCTTTTCATTGACTATCTAGTCAATTTAAGACACTTTAATAAGCATTTGTGAAGAACATGTGTATGTTTTTGATTCATACATGGCCAGAAAATATATACTGAATATTCTCTCAACATGGAGCTGGAGATGTGGCTCAGTGGTAGAATGCTTGCCTGTCATGCATGAGCCTCTATATTAATTCCTTGTGCTTAAAAAGTACATACTTTATAAAATTTGAATGGCAATTGTTTATGGTAGAAGGGAAGAAGAGACCAATATGTTTGTTCTTCTGCTGCAAAAGACTGTGTATAAAACTCCCCAGTTCAGTGGATCCCACAGTGTTGGCCTAGGCTAGGAGCGTAGACGTCATCTAGTCACTTACTGGAAATTCAGATTCTTAGGTCCCACCCAAGACCTACTGGGTCAGAAACTGGGGGTGGGGCCCAACAATTGCATTTGAACAATCCCTTCATTCTAATGCCTTCTCAAGTCTGAGGACAAGTGCCCTAATTTAATCTGAATTTCAGGAAGCTGCATTCAACTGTACCAATCAGAAGGCAGGTTCACAATACATGAGATGTGAGTATTAATGAAAAGAAGATATAAAAAATATATTCTTTTGTGCAGTAGAACAATGTATTATTTTTATTCTCTTGTGTGTCATGTCATCACCGGTACTCTGATCCCTAAATCTAGATGTCTTTGAGGCCTGGTTAGGACTGTGTGCCAGAACCAAGGAAATGATGTGTGTAGTCTTGGGGAAAAGAGACATTTTAAGAAGATAAGAGATCCTTTTCTCTTTGTATAAGACCTACAAAGATGAAATAATAAAACTCAAGTCACCAAAAATGAAACTTAAA